CCCAAGTGAGGATCCCGCCCTGACCACCAAGTCTTGCTTCTGACAGCCCCGCCCAAAGGTCCCCCGTCTCGGGACCCCGCGGCATGGCGCCGGCCTGATCGCACCCTCGGTAAGCAGGTTCTGGGTGGGCAGGGACCTGACGCGTCGCCACCGGCTTGCCTGGGTCAATGATGAGAACTCATATGGTCTCGAAGGGCGATGATGACCTAAAAATCATGCTCAATAGGATTACGCTGAGGCCCAATGCAGGGGACCGTGCCGGGATCAGCATCCGCCAGACCCTCGGGGCATGGAGGGGGCGCTGCGGCTGGGCGCTGGAGGAGAGCAAACCCTCGAGCGTCTGTGCGGGGGCCCCGCAACGTCGGTGCCCGTGCGGGTGCCCACGGGGCGTTCTGGCATTGAAGCTGGCCTACCGACCCAATCCGCGTCCCAGCACGGCTCCCCGGGAGCCATGGCTCAGCCACCCTGGTCTCCTTGTGTCTTTCAGCGGGCCGCGCTGGCGAGGATCTCGGTGCGTCGTCCACCCGGACAGGTGAGCGGACGTCCCAGGGAGCGTGGGCCCTGGAGCCATCCCAAGGGCAGGCAACGCGAACGTTGGGCAGGGGTCCTGACGAGGCCAGGAAAGCGCGGGGTGGCCGCCCTAAGCCCTGGTGCACAAGAGGCCTCCTGATCCATCCCGGTGTGTCCCGTGGGCCCAGGAACGGTGTGGACGAGACACCCGTGGGCTCTGAAGCCTCTGTGTCCCTCAGCAATGGGTCGTTGCTGAAGACCCGGGATTGGCATGGTTCCGAGGGCTGACGAGGCCTGAGCTCCTGTCCCATTCAGCAGACGCCCAAGGCCTCCGGCAGCCCGGCAGGTGGCTTGGGAGGAGCACAGGATGATTCCTTGTGCTCTCGAGACCAAAAGGGTCCACTGGGCCTCGGGGCAGAATCTGCCAGTCCCAGCCCCTAGCGGCCATTGGGTCTGAGCCTCTGGCCTGAGACTCTGATGCTCCCAGGACCGGGTCCTGACGAAGCGGCCCTGCACGCGGGGAGTCAGGTCCCTCGTCCAGGGCGGCCCGTGAACCCTGTGGCTCGCTGTAGTGGTGGCTAGTGACCTGGCATTCACAGCTCGGCCTTGGGGGAGCCCTGGGTCCGAGCAACCTTGGGCTCGCCGTGGAGGGGCTCAGATCCTTGGAGCCCAGGTGGGACGAGGCGTGGGTGGGCGGCTTCCTGGCCAGAACTCCCGGGCTGCAACTCTTGGCTCGCGTCCACAGGAGACAGCGGGGACCCGTCGGCGCCCGGTGTTCCGTGCCACGTTCAGGGCCCGTGCTCCGGAAGGCCGGGCTCCCACAGGGGCCCCGATCTCCATTGCTTGGGGATGCCCAGGAGAGGGCAGCTGGGCGCCTGGGCTCCCCAACTTCCTTGCGGACACTAGCAACGCGTGCGTCAGCCCTATGCCCGGCCCCCACCGGCCAGGACGTGGGGAAAGGGCGCCTTCGGCCGCCTGGGCGGTGCCGCAGACCGGGGCGTTGTGACAGCTGGTCTCTCCGTCTCTCCTTAGAACCCCATCCACCATCGAGAAGCTCGCCCGCACGAGCGCGACTTGCTTGGCCCAGCCCTGCCCAGAGGTCTACCGTCTCAGGACCCCGGGCCACGGCGCTGTCCGGCACGCGGCCCCGGTAAGCAGGTTCTGGGTGCGACGCGACCGCACGCATCGCCGCCAGCTTGCTTGGGTCAATGATGAGAACTCATATGGTCTCGAAGAGCGATGATGACCTAAAAATCATGCTCAATAGGATTACGCTGAGGCCCACTGCAGGCGTCTGTGGCGGGATCAGCATCCCCCAGAGCCTCGGGACCCTGGAGGTGCGCTCCCGTTGGGGGCTGGAGGCGAACGCTCTGTCGGTGCTGCCTGCCCCGGCCCTGGCCTGTCTGTGCCCATCGGGGGCGCCCTCGAGCTGTTCAGGCAGTCCGCCCTGCCGAGCGACCCAATCCTCCTCCCGGCACGGCTCCCTGGGCGTCCAGGCTTAGGAAACCTTGTCTCCTCGTGTCTTTCAGCGGGCCTTGGGCGCCAGGTTCTGGGCGCGGCGTTCCCCAAGAGAGGTGAGTGGAAGACTCTGGGCCTGGAGGGAGACGGCAGGCGCCGTGGGCCTTGTCCACGAAGCCCGAATCCCGGCAGGGGCTCCGGCTCCAGCGTTGAGCTGGGGCTGGGGGCCCTCGTTGTCCCCACGGCGTTGACTTGCCCACCAACAGCCGCCCCTGAGCCATCCCAGGTGCAGGGAATGGGAAAGGTGGGCCGGGTCCCTGGCCCGGACGGGCAACTGGGGGGATGCCGCCGCCCACCCGCGTGCCCCTGAGGCCTGCTTGACCCTCCCGTTGTGTCCTGTGCGCCCGGGAGGATTGTGGACGTGAGACCCGTGGCGTCGGGGGCTTCTGTCCCGTTCAGCGAGCGGCGGTTGCTCCAGCCCACCGGAGCGGCCGTTTCCTGGGGCTGGAGAGGGCAGAGCTCCTGACGCATGCACCAGACTCCCAAGGACTTTGGGAGCCTGGGAGGCTGCTGAAGTAGAGCCCTCGATGTTTCCTTGGGCTCACGAGTCAGCAAGCTCTGGCTGGTCCTGGGGAAGCCTGGGCGAGCCCCTGGCATCGCCCAGCGCAGGCATCGGGCGTGAGAGCCTGTCCTCGGGGCCCCCCGGGGATGCCCCGCCCCAGGGGGAGAGTCAGGACCCTCTTCCAGGGCGGGCAGTGGTCTCCTGCCTTGCACAAGGCGCAGACGGTGACCCGGGGCTCATTCTTGAGCCCTGGCCCATGTAAGCCTGTGGGCCACCTTTGGCCGCGAGTGCCAGCGCCCGCCTCCATCGAGCACAGCCGGGGCCAATCTGGGGGACGGCGTCTTCCTGGCCATCACTTCTGGGGCCGCCACCATTTTCTTGGGGCCCTGGGAGACACCGCGGGAGCACTCCAATACCCCTTGCCCCAGGCCACGTTCTGGAGCCCTTCTCAGCAAAGTGAGGCTCC